AGGAATTCAATAATTTAATTCCGCATATTAAGCTTTATTTCATATCTTTGTTTGCTTTTTTAATTTGTAAATATCTAATTGATTCCATGTTAGAATTTCTATACAGTGCAACATATTTTGAAAGCAACAATGTTTTAGTTTAGAGGATACATCAATAAGGAGCTGTTGAAAGCATAAAAAACCTAAGATATAAGAAAAACAAGAAGACAGCGGATGAAAAAAATGACAACTTCGAAAATTAAATTAGGTAATATTTAATCCATTATGTTGTAAATGAAAGCATTTCAGCCAGAATGTATTTTTTAATATTACAATTCAAAAGCTAAAAATTAACGTTCTTAACTATGTTTTCATTATTTACTTTAAAACTCTTTGAGCTGTGTTATGTACACAAAGCATAAAAAGGCGAAATATGTTTACACAACATTTCAGCATATCATTTTTTCTAAAGGACTATCTTCGGTATTGACCAATGCTAGCCCCCCCCCCAAAAAAAAATCAAACTTTGACAGAGAAATATATAACTATGTTCTAAAAGAGGGGGATATCTGCAGACCCCAAAGCACTGACTATTTTCATTAGCCATGACGTCATATGTTTGATGTGACGTCAGGAAAATGAGATAAATTTAAAATGTCCATAAATTCTACAGAAAAAGGCTTTTATGTTGTCGATATTTTGAGTTCAAGTCGTCGAGAGCGGGTTTGCTCCAGCTCAGTATTTTGATATAATGTAAGGAATGATAATAGCAAAAAATGTAAATATTGTACTGTCCAGATCAGCTTGTGCTCCATTAATTCTATATTCATAATTGAACAACTTCTGTCCAGTTTCTTATTTCTGAAAAATATTCAAAATCCAAATAGTTTTTGACGTAATAAAAGCAAAAATTGTCAATATCCTGTTTTAAAACTATATGTTTTGTTAATTTAGATTTCTCATGTAAATATATTATTCAGCACATTTCAAGTAATTTTCTAAATATAACTTTTGTTGTGGCAAAATCATGCAATATATAGCATAAGTCCTCTAAGTTTTGTAAAAAATATTCCTGACGAAATAAACTTTAACGTTAATTAACTTTATATTTCAGGAATTGTCGCTTTTATTCTTTTGATTTTTTCTCAAAGTAGTTTATCCATTAAGGCAATTGGGACCATACCTGTGAAGTAAGTACGTATTATAGTTTAGCAAAATGAAAGAAAAACTATTTAAACTTCAGCCCTTTCTGTTTAATAAGAGTAACCCTAGTGATGTCTAGAAAATATGACAGAAAAAGTTAATATTATTTCTAAAGTGTTTTTCCATCAACGTAAGTTTAGTTATCAAAAACTAAGTAGTCTACAGTCTTGAAATAATTGGAGGAACCTGGCTTTTCTTGCCTTTCTGTCCGACAATTCGCAAGAATGTAAAAGATTCATGTGTATCTACCAGTACAAATGAACAAAAAATTAAATTGACAATTAAGCCATCCCTCATAAATTTCGTAAATCAAAAAAGGCATTATCAATATGTCATGTTCGAAAACATTTAAGTTAATACTGAATTCATCGCATGCAAGAATTCCATACTTTCCCAAAGTTTACTAAATAACAATGTAGTTAGTCAAGGCCTATATTTCCCTCAAATTTATTTGAATCTTTGATATTTTGTGATAGGATACAAATCTCTGTATCATAAAAAAAGAAATTCAATCGCACTTTTTTGTCCACATATTTTGAAAAATTCCTATCAAACCACTTTTAGAAGATTGTGAAAACAGATAATTGATTTTTGTGATGTTTTTTTTTTATAAATACTACCTCTTTGTTATTAAAATCAGAGAATTCACTGGTAGAGTTGAGAAAAACATGATGTACAAATAGGATTTACATGGCCCCGAAATTTATAATTCACATGTAAATATGCCATGCTTAAAAAAACTCTTAAGTAAAAATGCATAATTCAATTTTAACAAAAAATCAACAGATTGATTAAAATAGATCTAGGAATGAAATATATCAAGATAAACAAAATCGAAACAATGTTTGAGATATTTTGGCGATTAATAAAAATCAATGGTAAAAAGTTAAAGATTCAGTGAATGAAATCGCAATATCTTACCTTTATCCTTTTAATAAGAACCTGGCCTTTATTGTGCATTAAGAATACTTCATTCCATTTATACATGTCTAAATATCAGCCCTCTACTATTTTTAGATGAAAACTTATACCACATTTAATAAAAGACTCTGAAATCGCATTTAGACGGCATAAACACATTCTAAAATGTAGGCTCTAAAATAACCGATAATTTTTCTAATTTTCAAAGAAATTATGACAAAACATATCATATGTTATCATTTTTCTAAAACATTATTGATTATTGACATTATAGAGAAATTATTTCCTTCTCTTATGTAATATTTAGAAAATTAGATAAAATAGATTTAATCGGTGTTACCTTAATTCTTAAGTCTCATTTTAAAATTCCTCTTCAGGTTATGCGCTCAGGATCATTCGATTCTTTTCCAGCATATGGAAATATCTCTTTGCAGTTTAATCAATGATGAATTATTGCATAATACTACTCAAGGTAATCATACATCTGTTTTAATTTTCAAAGAGAACATGTTTTTGTATCAGAATGTCTTTCATATAACTTGTTTGTCTCCAATGTTTTAGCTACAATGTATAGTATTTGAAATTTTAAAAAAGGTTATTAAGCTAAAGCTTTGAAGAAACTTTAAATCTGACATCGTCTCACATTATATATTTAAATATATTTCAATTCTTTAAAGATAAATTCCTAAGAATATTAGAGTGTAAAAGTCATGACCTTGAATAAATACAGATTTACGATGCCTTCATGTGCGTACTTCTCGTCCCTTTAGGTATCATTAAAATATTCCTCAAAGTCCTTGCTATATTGTCTTTTAAAAATCTTTTACACCTCTCTATATTTTTTCTTAGAGTATAAACTATGTAAATGATATTTTTCTATAAATTCAAATAAAGACAATTAAGAGCAGATGATACATACATTTTTTTTTCTTTGGAAGAGACTTAATATCATGTCACAAGTTTAGAAAAGTGGATAATTCCTAGAATTTTTTCTCCTAAGACTTGGAATATATTAGTAATATTTCAATTTAATTAAAAAATATGGACAAAACACACTCAGTAAAGGTTAACAGATGAAAATAAATTTCAGAATATGTTACCCTGGTGCTAAAAGTGTAAACTAAACTTTAGAAAAATATACCAAGCCGGGTGAATTTATTAAGAAAAGCAAAATGGAAAGATTCAGCCTATAGTTTATTGCTGATTTTTTATCATTTTGTATTTCGTCATAAAATCAACCTGGTTTGGTATATTTTCTGAAGTTCATATTACACTTTTAGCATCAAGGTTACATATTCTGAAATTTGTTTTCACCTTTAAATCTTTACTGAGTTTTGTATGTCTATATTTGTTTTTTATTGAAATATTTGTAATATTTTCCAAGTTTATTTTATTTTTCAGTTCTTAGGAGAAAAAAATTCTAAGAATTATCCACTTTTCTAAACTTGTAACATGATATGTTTGTACCATCTGTCCTTAAGTCTTATACAAAATTTAAATAACAAATTGATGAATTGAACAGCAGGCAAAGCCATTCGAGTTCTCCCTACAATGTCAAGGTAAATACACACACTTAAACGTAAACTACTAATTAAACAAACAAAATAGAAAAAAAGAAAGAAGAAAAACGTAGATAAATACAATGTACATGTGGTACTGGTTTGGAAATGTTGACAGATGTAACATATATGACTGTGTCAAACAAAACGTTTGGTTGCTGCTTTTTTGGCTTGTATTTCGTCAAATTTTGGAATATATTTTGAAATACCTAGTCCATGATTAAGATTACTATATCATAAGAAAGTTTGTTATTATAATGATTGCAGAAATATTAGATCAACACTCTTTATAACTATAACTCAGATACTGTATTGGCTCGTCCCTCTCGCTATTTTTTTACTCATATGGAGATGCCTCCACTCTCCGGTAGAGAGATGCAAATACTCGGCACTTAGGGCCATTGAGCAGTGCGGCGGTCTTTTTCCTGCTAGCACCTTTTGCGACAAGAGACGTCTGTTAATACGTTCTCACCACAAGGACCGGTCACCACGTCTCTTGGCGAAATTAGAACCCGCAAGGTAAGGATCAACTCCCTACTTGCCACAGCTACCTTAGAAGATTAATCTAACATTAAAATTCCTAATGGTTGATTGATTTATTGTTGTTTAATGTCCCATTCGAGAAATTTTAACTCATCTAGATAAGTCGGCGTAGGCCGGTGAAGGGCTTCAAACTTTAGACTTATTTTCTGCATCCAGGACCACCAAGTTTTGAGGGTACATCATCTTGCTAACACCTACCGTGACATACTTGGGCTTACGTTTTAATATCATATCCGAAAGATCCATGTCTTTCACTTCTAATGCCGAACGCTTGGCGAAGGAACAGTCACTATCTATGTTTACGTCCTGAGTTTGACTTGCCGCCGCGAACAGGAATCGACCCCGGCTCTCCCGATCAAGAATTGAATTAAAAATACTTTTTAGAATCAATATTTCACTATTTATTTTTTAATTATGTTTTTTTTACCAGTAAGTCATTTTTTTTCAAACAATATGAATCTCAAATACGTATTCTTTTTTCTAACTTTGCAAATGCTCATTACCTTAAAATCAAAAAATCCAAATTTCTTTGATATTATTTGAATGTTCGAAATAGATTTAAGTAGTCTTTTAAGAAATAACGTGTTAAAACTGATAAATGACGATGAAACAAAAGCTATCTTTAATGGATATAAGTTCACTTTTTCTAATTTCCTTCAAATAAGTATTTGCTTTGCGTAAGCCATTTTTTAAAAAATCGAGCAAATAGAATATTTGATTTTTTTATTATTATAATTTTTCTTTTAATTTGGACACCTCTTTGAATAAGATACTCTTGCTATATTACTTTTGATCATTCTTTTTTTTTCAAATGAATAAACGTAATTCTTAAACGATTTTTATATTAATAATAAATGATTTCTGACATAAAATTATCTAAACATGCATCTTTTACAAAAATTTTATTTTTGTCATTTCGTGATTCAAGGGAACTATTTTACTTCTAGATAAAACGAATGTGCAGCTTGGAGAAATATGTGTTACAGACGAGCAATGCTACAACTCAGGTGATTTTCAAAAATGTTTAATGAAGCATTGTTCATGTAAAGAGGGATATATTGAGTATAACATCCAATGTATTCGTGGTACGTATTTAAATAATTTTGACATACTTTCTTGTACTTTGTATGTTTTAGTAGGAAAATATACCATATAAGCTAAATTTTTGGCGAGGATTTAATTTTGGCATTATTAGCGAGGGCGCCAATATCGCTAAAATTGAATATCGCTAAATGTCAATTGCGCTCTATTTGTAATAGCTTCTTTAGGAGGCATTCTAAAATAGCTAAATTTATATCTCGCTAAAAATAAATTACCCATTTTTCATGAGAAATCGCAAAATTTGCATCTTGCTAAAATTTCCACTTATACGGTATATACATGAAACATATGGAGATGATTTGCAGACCATATAAATTGCTAACAAAAATTATGAAAAGCTTATTTTCGTTATAAAAATATATACAATGGAGAAAACCATTTTTTAATACGATATTTTTTATTATTCTTGCATCAAGGGTATATATCCATCCACTTCATATGAAAAAATCATCAAAACAACGTTATATGAAAAATAAGGACATTCTTACATTTACTTCATTATCTACGAACATGAATTAAAAAAACATCGCAACTGTTATCTCTGCATTGAAAATCAAAGACAGTATTTTAATGTCTAGTTGTCCGTAGTTTGAAACAATGTTTTGGAAATTGGATTATCCTAACAATTAAAAAGGTACATTTAAGAGAATGTGTTACCCCATCCCATAAAAAAATAAATGTATCATCACAGATACTCTTTTTTGAGGTTTAATTTACAAAGGGTGTGATATTGAACCATATCATCCCCGCAAATCCATATCAGCCCTGCATGACTGATACGTGACGTCAGCATATTGCATATGCAAAAATCCTGTATTTGTTACAAAGTATGTAGGACAACTTTTTTTTTGCCAACAAAACTTAATTTAATAGGCCCTTAGTAACGTTTTCCACAGGGAGAGGAGTTTAAGAGGGGACATTGTCTAGCTCTATATAATTAACTATCATAAGATTGATTGATTGATTGTATACTGTTTAACGTCCCTCTCCAGAATATTTCACGACGTCACCATTGCATATTATAAGTATGGTTAACAATGGTAAATCAAGTATGCGGACATTTTATATTGTGAAAGCTAACACATCAACACTTTTGAAAGGCATAAGTTCTACGTTTACTTTAGCAAGTATTAATAAAGTGATGCATATTATAATTCGAATGCCAATTTGAATTTGCTTGCATGCAATTGAAAGTAGGCTTTTTCTTCCGCTAATTTTTCGTCTTGAAATTTTAAGACCCTATTTTTTAGTGGGGGTGGGGGGTCCTAGGGGATCTTTAAAATGAAGGATATGGAGATAACGTACAGTATTCAATATCAAAGTTCATAAAACAATACAAAATAGGTGCAAAGTAAACACGGGCCTTCAAAACATCAGAGATAGGATCAGGTGCCTTGGAGGAGTGAGCATCCCCTGCCGACCGGTCACACACTCTATATGCTCCTTCTCCTGATCGAGTGATAACGAAAAAAAAATCCTTCATCAATTCAGTGTATAAAATACTGGAGTAACAAATTATATGAAAAACACCACTGAGCATTTGACTCAGTGGTAAATTGGATTTGCTGCAAGGTCATTGTATTGACAGTAAACTAGGAAATATTTAAAGAGTATCAATCGAAAGATAGAAATTTCTTTTCTTGCTACGAGTTTCTACTTTCCGGTTATTATTTTTATTGTACATAATCATTCTTAACATTATATATATCATTGTCATTGTAATCAAAGTCGATATAATCACTATCACCCTCATAAAAATTGATTGCTATATTTGCTTTCCTATGATATCCTATGATATCCTATGGCGAGGAATGCTCATACAGTGAACAATGTAATTTTTATGGAGGAGTTTGTACGAGAAAACATAAATGTTCATGTAGTTTTGGTCATGTATACGACGCCAAAGGAAAGACTTGTCATCAAGGTGAGTTTCAAAGCATTTTTAAATTGTTTTTTTTTCAAAGTTGGCCGACATGTATCTGTTGTAAATATATTAGAAATTTATTGCTTATGGTACACTTATTATTACTTTATAAATATTTAATTGGCTTTTCACAAAACACAAGGACGTTTGTCATGATATACATGTATAAAGTGTTTACCTCTTTCTGTCTTTCCATTTTATTTGGGTTTTTAAGATCAACATATAATTTGCATAAATTAACAAGAATCAAATTGTGCATTAATTGCACATGTGAGCTTGTAACTATGATCTTTTCGTGAAGTATTTAATAATATAATAATATTACCAGAAACTTTTCTAAAAAAAGACATTTTTTGAAAATAAATTTAAGAAGTCTGCAAAGAATCGCAAAGTGCACATGTATATTAAATCAAGGCAGCATTAGACATCAAAACCGATGTAAATGTTCCCTTTCAAAAACAAATTAATACACACATACACAAACACGGCCTAGCGCGTTATTTTATCCACTCCAACTGCGTTGACATCCCTCGTTCTTGCATAAAGTTCTGCTAATGTGTTAGAGATAATTGAATATACGAACAATACCACAGGCCTTTAGAAAGTTTTATTTCGATTTCAGAAAAAGGTTATAAAAAATGTACTAGGTTTTGGAACTTCTTACAAATGGTGCCCATTTTCGCCAATAAAAAGCTTTTTATAGAAATGATCTAAACTTTTATTTTCAATCCATTTCTATTGTTTTTATTCATGTATACTGGTTAACAATCTTCAATACTACCAAAGCCAAAATGCAGTTTACGTCCAGATATATATTTAAAAAAATATTCCAAAATTGACCTACTTCTATACTGCAGAGTATGTTAATATTGGTATATCTTGAGATAATAAGAATATATTTTTATTACCTAATTTTTATTAAAGACACATGTAGGCATCAGGTAAATGTTCCAAGTCTTTATATATCATGAATCATTTTACAATCGAAGACTGTTATTTTTATTTTCAATATGATTTTGTTTCAGGCACTTGAAGTTACTCATTTTTTGTTATACAAAAAAATAACCCGATACCTAATTATTAGATATGGGTTTCACTTTTATGTAAACCAAAAAGGAAAGTCAGGTTCCTGTCGATTTAAAATTTAAAGATGCATTTTGACATTTCTGCAATATTAATCTTATATGCATGAATATTCTTCTTTTTTCAAAGAATCAATGAACGAAGTGATTCAAACAACGGTAACTATCAGGGATGGCAATTTGTAACCGTTTAATCGATTGATCGGTCGGAACTATGCTAATCGGTAAGAAAATCCGTAGTCGGTTAGTCGGAAAAAATAAAATATATGTAATAAGCGCTGTTTCCTTAAAATCCATTCTGTTTTGTTTGGGTTTAGAAAAGAAAGCGCTGCATAGATTTTTAGAGTGTTCTTACACAACTTATAATTAAGAATATTTGGAGGTAATTAATATAGTTCTCAAGACTGAGTTCGAAGGGTAATTGGTCAATTCGTAAAGTTTAATTAGTGTTTTATAACAGATAGTGCTGTTTTTTATTTAATATTAAAAACATCGCCGTTAAGCACTTTTTAGTATTAATAGTATGTCTATATTTTGCCGTTATCTAGTAAATTATATTATTATAAACTCGTTGTAAATTGTAAATAAAGTGAGAATTCAGACGTAGACTACTTTTGATTATGGTGACAACGCAGAATTAACTTTTTTAACATCTGCTTTCAAAGTTGGAAAATTATCCCTGTCTGATTTCTCAAGCAAGATTCATGGTTTTCTTCTTTCTTGTCTATTGAAATTGAAATAAAGTATACTCTTATGGACATTAAATGCCCCTATCAAAATCATAAGTAGAATATAACATCTAACGTATTTTTAGCCTTTTTGTCTATATTAAAAGAAAATGTCCAAATGTATATCTTGATACGACTAACCGGTTAATCGGTCGAAACGTTTTGCGGTTAACCGATTAGCAATTCTGCAATCGATTGCTACATGTATCCTTAGTAACTATACATAATATCATACATGTATTCGGTATGACAAATTCTATAGTTTTTAGAGGCCTGTTGCAACCACTATTGAAATAACGACCACTATTGAAATAATTATATCAAAAGTGGTTGAGAGTGCATTTCAATAACAAACATAGTTAGTAACCACTATTGAAATGCAACCACTATTGAAATAATTATATCAATAGTGGTTGAGAGTGCATTTCAATAACACACATATGTAATAACCACTATTGAAATACGACCACTATTGAAATAATTATATCAATAGTGGTTGAGAGTGCATTTCAATAACAAACATAGTAATTAACCACTATTGAAATACAACCACTATTGAAATAATTATATCAATAGTGGTTGAGAGTGTATTTTAATAACACACATATGTAATAACCACTACTGAAATACGACTACTATTGAAATAGTTATTTCAATAGTGGGTGAGATTCAATTCAATAACAAACATAGATTGCAACCACTATTGAAATAATGTTCACTTTTGAAATAAAGATTTCATTATGGATTGAATTATGGTTTTAGTTTTGTAATATTACCAGCAACTATCAAAATAATTATTTAAATCACTTTTGAAATTATAATTTAAATACCTATCTATATCTTAATATAAGGACAGATGATACAAACAAAATATGGATGCATGGATTTGTATATATTTTTTTGGTCTGATTTCATTGAAAATGATGCAAATAATATTTTTCTAGAATGTAAAGTAGTTGTGAAATTGTAGACCTTCCTTATTAATTTATACACTTTAATTATTAACCTATATGTTTTCCACCCCACCTCTAATTCTTGTAAAATTTTGGATGAAAAATTAAAAATTACGTGGTGAAACTTTTCTTTCGATACTGGTCGTATTTCAATAGTGGTTGAAACCTATGGTAATCATATTGAAAAGCACTCTTCCCCACTATTAGATAATTATTTCAATAGTGCTTGTATTTCTATAGTGTTTGAAACCTATGGTTATCATACTGAAATGCTCTCTCACCCACTGTTGAAGTAATTCTTTCAATACTGGTTGTATTTCAATAGTGGTTAATATCTATTTTTGTTATTGAAATGCACTCTTAACCACTATTGATATATTTATTTCAATAGTGGTTGTATTTCAATAGTGGTTACTAACTATGTTTGCTATTGAAATGCACTCTCAACCACTATTGATATAATTATTTCAATAGTGGTCGTATTTCAATAGTGGTTACTTACTATGTTTGCTATTGAAATGCACTCTCAACCACTATTGATATAATTATTTCAATAGTGGTCCTATTTCAATAGTGGTTACTTACTATGTTTGCTATTGAAATGCACTCTCAACCACTATTGATATAATTATTTCAATAGTGGTCGTTATTTCAATAGTGGTTGCAACAGAGGCCTGAAAATAAAATAACCTTTGATAGCTTTAATTTCTAACATTTCATAGAATGAATAAAAACAAAATATTTGGTCTATCTGATATTGACTTATTTTATTTTAAAGATACCTTATTTTATATACGGTTACACATTCCAAAACTTTGTTACAAATCTGTTCTATAAAATATGTGATCCTATGTAATATAATTTGAGAGCATTTCGTGTAAAAAAGTTTTTCATTAAGTATATTTTGTTTATATTATTCATCAAATTGAACATGTCCTGAAGATAAATGTTTTGATTTATTTAATCTATGATTATTACTGTGGAATCATCATTATTCGTCGGCTCCACGAATTCTTGGATTTCGTAGGAAACACTTATTAACGAAATAATTTAAATCACAACGCACAATAATTATTTTGTGAACATAATTACTTATTCAATCGTCTCAAATTATGAGTTATCCACAAAACAATAAAAAAAACTCCTTTACCCAAGAACATTGATCCTCACGAATGAAAAACGATTCCACAGTATTTATCTTTATTGTAGTTGGAAAGGTAGTTGGCACCACAGTAGGAGCTGGTATTTCCGGACTTATTATCGGCGTTTTGGTAGGATCTGTCACAATGTTTCTCACTCTGAAGA